TGATTTCATTCAAATAAATAGTGCTTCTTTATTTATAAATTAGCATTCCTCTGTAAAGAAGAGCCTTCCCTCTATTTGCTTTTGTCTGGTTCTCATGAACTAGGGTATTATTGAAAAGGTAGGGTAAAATATTAGTTCCTTCCCTCTAATTTTTTTTTAAAGATTTTATTTATTTACTTGAGAGAGAGAACATGGGAGTGTGAAGGGGCTGAGGGAGAAGGAGAAGCAGGCTCCCCACTGAGCTGGGAACCCAACACGGGACTCCATCCCAGGGCCCTGGGATTATGCCCAGAGCCAAAGGCAGATGCTCAACCCACAGAGCCACCCATGTACCCCTTTCCCTCTATTAATTTTAACAAATTGTTACCCTCCAATGATGGCAAATGAGGTTTAATTTTTTTTCTCTTTCTCGATCATTAAGAATTTGTTTATGTGTTAATGTGTTTCAATCAGTTACTGTTTTGTTCTCGTTGATTCTCAAATTGCTTTAATTTGGCCCGTGGAAGCTCTTTCTAATAGAATTTAAGAGCCAGAAGGAATCTTAGAAATCAAGTACTCCAAATCCCTAAGTTTTATAGGTGAGGAAACTAAAGCACAGAAGTTGGTGACATCCTAATGTGTCACAGCTAATCAATGGTGGAGCAGGGATTAGGATCCAGATCTCTCGAAGCCTCAGCTAGTGCTTTTCCCACTGTTCTAAGAGAGATATCTGCTGTAAATCTTGCTTTCAACTTCTTACTAATATTAAGCAAAATGAGAGAAAATGGCCCATGTTTGTAATCATACATTTTTTGTTTATTAAAATTTATTGTCTAGTCCGGTGGGTGTCATATTTAATAGATTCATTATTTGCTTTGTTTAGAAACAGCAAAGAAGCACCACTGTAGGCTGGGTATTGGGCCAGTCTGAGAGGGGAGTTTGCCTTGAACAGTTTGCTGTCTACAGGTTGAATTTGTCTTGCAGTCACACTTTGACCTGCAGAGTTTTGAAAATTAGGAATTCATTGCCAACATAGAAAAGTAGTGATTTCGTGTACACATTTGAGTTGTCAGCTTCTCTAAAATACTTGCCGATATCTAGCAACGTTAGGTTCCCATTGTGATATAGCAACATTCAGTTGCAGTAGAAGAGCTTAAGTGGGCCTGCCTCCCAGTCCCTTCCTAATGTGTCCTTTACATGTTCGTTGTTGGATGACAAATGTGCTGCTTTCCTGCCTGACCTTGTAAGCATTTGAGATAGTGACCCCTTGATGTGAAGAATTCTAGGAAAATTCTTGCAATGAAGGTAACATCAATAATGTAGGCACACACGAACTGCAAGAAAATAGTACAACTGACAGTTTTCCTGCTGCTAATAGGAGATCTTCAGCAGCTTAATCACAAAGAGTAAAACCAATATGTCAGGCAAAAAATTTTGAAATTTTCAAGAAGATTGTTTGAAATAGTGGTTTTCTTCCTGTCATTAGTTGTAAACTTCACCTTAGTGTTAATTATGCTAATGCATATCTATATATAATTTTTATTATAATGAATCATATGAAAAATTTTCATTTTGTAGGTTGAAAATGGTCAAATATTGGTAATTTCACATGGTTCAACTAAAAAACAGTAATTACATATACTGGGCTGTGTACCCCAAATCTTCCTTTCGCAAGTATGGTACCCAAGCAGGTTTGAAGCTCACTGAGGTAGAAGAGGCTTACTCTTAAGTTAGAATTCCCATGGGAAATGGTTAGTGAATAAAGCAGAATTTGCAATAAAATTACAATTAGAAGAAAGTGCTATTTGTGTAGTAGAAACAAGGACGAACAAGGAATTAGAGAAAGGGTGGATAGCGGGTGGTAGGATCCTTAGGGGAGAGCTTCAGAGTGAGAGTGGGTCCAGTGAGTACAAAATCTTCATCTAAAGTCACATATAAATTGTTTTAATTATCGCACTGTTTCATACCATAAGCGCTAAGGATAATTAAGAGTTGGCTATTTACATTTTTATAACCTTGCAGCTACAGAAACTCAAGTTTAGTTGATCAGATCATGCTAGTATGCTCACTGGCATACTTATAAATTTGCCTTCTCTTTGTATGTTTTTATGTCAATGTTTTTCAAACTGGACGGCAAGCCATTAATGAGTTGTGAAATTGACTTACTGGGTCAGAGTTAGTATTTTTAAAAAAGTGAAGTGAAAGTGTATAAAATATATGAGTGTGTTGTACAGAGTAAGAGTAGTATTGTTTCAAGAAATTTATATTTTAGTTTTAAATGTGTGTTTCTATGTGTACATGTGAATATGCCAAGGTGAGATGCAAAATGTATTTTTTACTGTGGGTTGAAGAAAAAAGTTGAAAGCCATATTATTCTAGTTTGGTATTTTGAGTTTATGATAGAGTGCTTGTTCACTATTAATAGTGAGGCTTTAAAATCAGAGTCCTGATTCTTATTTTGAATTTTCAAATCTGTAATTCTTTAATAATCTTGCTAGACATGCAACCAAATAGTCTTTTAACTGATTCCAGTGCATTTATTTGGGTTTCCATCCCTCTTCTTCCGTCCTTTGAACACTGCCGAATTGATTGATTCATTTCTCCCCCCCTCCCAATTTGTACTGCAGAGAGGAACTGACTGGCATGGGTAGATCAGTAGCCTTGGAAAGTGTGTACTTAGATTATTACCTTCTGCAATGATTGATAAACACTAAATATGTGGCTAAGTGGAGTGAAAAGGTGAACTACATGCATTAATATCAAATCCTCAAATTTATTACCAAAACACACCTTATTTTTTGGTCTGTCTTCCAGATTGGGCTTTAGCAACAGTCCGTCAGTTTTTTCATTCAGTTCAACAGTTCATGTATTGAGTGACTACTGTGAGCAAGGCATGGCCCACATAGTTGCTAAAGGTTATAGTCAATGGAAAGTGAGAAGAAAGGGGTGAGCTGCCTGGGCACTGGGTCATACAGTTGTTGTGAGGGTTTTGAGTGGTGGCATAGTGAAGCAGACAGTGCCTGAGCAGAATAAACCACAAGTTCCTAAGCTCTTCTCGGATCTTTGCTAGGTGGTTGACCTTAAGCAAGCAAGTTATTTAAACTGTTTGATTCTCTGTGTCCTTCAGTGTTAAATGGGGAAATTCTCACATAGGGTTATTTGGAGTGTGACACATATTAATTCCCCTCCCCTCTTCTTTCATTTCTTTTTTTTTAAGATTTTATTTGTTTATTTGTTTGTTTATTTGGAGAGAGAGCGAGAGCGTGTGCGCGTGTGTGTGCGTGCCTGCACCAGCAGGTGTGTGTGCATGGGGGGGCTGATGGAAGAGGGGTGGTGGGGAGGAGCAGAGAGGGGAGGGAGAGGGTCAAAGGGAGGGGGAAAAAATCTCAAGCTGACTCCACCTGAGTGCAGAGCCTGACACAGGGCTCTGTCTCAGGACCCTGAGATCATGACGTGAGCCTACATGGAGAATCGGATGCTTAACCGACTGAGCCACCCGGGCGCCCCACTTCTTGAATTTCTTATACAGCTTTTCTTAACTGCCATTAAATACTGGTAAGGTCCCATGTTGAGGTGAAAAATGATTACTTTTTAAAGGAAAGCATTTTAGGGGCCATTGTAGCTGCCTGAGAAGTGATGCCCAGTGCCTAGTTTTGGCATGAAGTGGCTAGTGAGGCAGGGAAGGATGGAAGAAGCAGAGCTGGCTTCCAGCCTATGAAATTTGCTTGCTAAACTGAATCAATAACTCTATGTTACTATAAATAGCAGTCTTCCTGTTTCTTTGGTGTGCTTGTGCCTGGGTTATTTAGGATTATAATCTTGATTTGAGGACTCTCTGTAGGTATTTTTTTGTCCCTAAATTATCTTTAAAGAATAGGTCTTCTGGGTGCTGCCATTTTTTGCAGCTTTTCAGGACCTCTTCTCTTTATTTGTAAAATGAAGGGCTGGGTTAGTTAGCTGCAATTCCTTTAAGCTCTAACATGTTACTATTTCCAGGAGTTGGGTTTTCTGTTGTTCATTAAGTAATTTATATCCCTCAAAACATTGCTTTTGTTGGTGGCTGTTTTTCCCTCCAACAGTGTTTATCAGAGTTCCCCTGGAGGTTTTGTTGGAGTTTTCTTCCTCTTAGGAAGGGAAGGGTTCCGCTGAAGACTAGGCACAGGCGGGTTTGGAGGACTCTCACAAAGGCACGCATGGCTCTGTGTCCTCTCTGCATACCTTTTACAGATGCTCTGGCTGGACAAACCCAACCTAGCTCCCTGGCTCTCCAGTCTCTGCTTTGGTTGCCTTAGTTGAGAAAACAATGTCCCCTACCCTGGAACCGCCTCACAAGTAACTGCAGGGGGCAGCCACAGGTGCTTCTCACCTGGGAACTTGTCAAAACACAGCTCCCCACTCCCCACTCCCAGCGATTCTGATTTTAATAAGCCCAGGATTCTGAATTTGAAACAAGTGTCCTTGTTGATTCTCATGCCAGGTTGGCTCTAAAGCCTGCACCTTGGTTTACAGTATGTAAACCAGAGTACAGAACCTCTGGTTTACAGTATGCTACCTTGGCTGTTGGAAAGATTGGCAGGGGAATTTAAACTTTTATGAACAGTCTTCCTCTGAGAACGGCAAGCCTACTTCTTTCTTGTTCATAATTGGGATGAATTTATGATTTTTATGGAAACCAGGTGATTTTCTGCCTGGTGGGCTTGTCTCTCAAGTCAGGCAAAACTCAGTGCTTGTCATTTTAAGACCACTTGCCAGAGGCCTTGTCAGAATTTGAATGTTACGCAATTTAACCCTTTTATGTTGGCTCCTGTATGGTGGATTCAGTCTCTTAAGCTAAAAACAGATTAAGTTGGATTTTAAATATGTAAATATTTTGTGTTGTGTAAATTAGTTAATACTTTAAATGTGTCTCACTCGTAGGGCATGAAGGTTTGGAGAAAAAAAATTTCCGGGAAAGAAATAAGTTTATTTTAGTAACTTGATTATTGAACTAACGCCTTTTCAATGTAATCATCACTACTCAGGGTGAAAAGTTTGGACCCTTCGCTGGAGAGAAGAGAATGCCTGAAGACTTGGATGAAAATATGGATTACAGGTTGATGTGGGAGGTGAGGATGTCATTGTTATTTTAAATATTTAATGTTTTTCTTTATACTATTTCGTGCATTTACAAGGCTAAGTTAGTATGTATTGATTCCAGTTGACTATTTAAACACTGGAATGTTTCAGTTTTAAGGGACCTGAGTAGCTTGAAAGTTTAGCATTAAAAAATATACTGTTGAAGTATCTTACTAGACAATTCTTCTAGAACTCAGAAGTTTATAGTTCATCATTGAAGAAGGAGTTTTCCATGCATAAGGATGTTTGGATTTTAAAACAAGCGTGTTCTTGTACTGGATTAAGAATTCAATTTCTGTAAATGAAATTATACTTTTCCTTTAACTTTTATTTCCCAGTTGTAGTTCTGATTTCTTAGAAACAGTTCTGAGCTCCTTGTTGGAATGAAAAATACCACTTTAAAATGTACCTCACCTATGTTTCAAGAACTGTGACTTTGTAGACAGTCTTTTGCAATCTGAAATTTCCCTAATGCAGTGATCTGTATATGCAAATGTACATCTGTATGAGAATTTCCATCCTAGTTTATGCCAAGTATATTTGTTGCTGAGGGAGAGAAATAGAGAAGTAAAGGTATAGAGATTGTTGAAGCAAAGACTTGGAAAAAACTCAGTTCCAAGAATTGTATTTGGTGGGTTCCATGAGTAGGGTGGGAGCTGAGCTCTGTGTAGGTGGGGCTGAGAGAGGTAGGATCAGTAAATCAGGAAGTGGTAGAATAAAGGGGTAGAGAGTTACACATAAAAAGTCTCTGAATGTGTATTTATCAGTTCGAGTCTGCAGAGCAACAGAACCAATAGGATGGAGATATATATATTTTTTCCAAAGAATTGGCTACATGATTGTTGGGGTGGCAAGTTGGAATCTGTAGGGCAGGCTTACAGGCTGGAAACTCAGATAGGAGTTGACATTGCAGTCTTGAGGCAGAACATCTCTGGCAGGCCTCAGTTGGCAGTTAAGGCTTTTGACTGAGGATGAGGGCCGGCCATATGCAGTATTGGCCTTAATCTCCTTTACGTACAGTCAGCTGACTGTAGGTGTTAACCATATCTGCAGAATACCTTCACAGTGACACTTAGGGTAATATTTGATAAATACCTGGTTACTATAGCTTAGCCAGCTTGACATAGACAGCCATCATAGTGTATTATCTGCAAACAAAATAGATTTTTAATCATCATCCATATTGCTGAAACTGCTGCTGGTAGGGAACAGTGTTTGAGGAAGGATTCTTGAAAGGTTTCTACAGTGTGGGTGATGGAAAATGGAAATTCATAATATAGTCCTCACTGGAAGTTGAAAATGTTATTGATTTGCCTAATTTAACGTGCTGTTTTAGTTGTTTATTTTATGAATGTAAACATATTTTCAGTGGCTTTCACTATTTTTCTATAAGGTCTTAATTTTCTCAGCAGTTATTTATTTATTTATTTTTTACCATGAAGGTTTTCAGAAATCAAACATCTATGTGACAAATAAAAAGATAACCTAAATAAGTCACAAATACACAAATACCAATTATTTAAGAGGTTGTTAATGGCTTTTGATATTTGTTCTGAAAATTTTAGTGTGGTGGGTTAATGTTTTGCACAGCTGGTTATGAGGCATTGTGAAACAGATAATGATTGTAATTCTTATTAAAGAAAGATTTGCCTGTAGGAAACGTAAGCAGGCTGTTTCTGAATTGTTCTGTAGCTGACAGTGCAGCAGCGGATCATCTAGTTTTATATGACCTATTCCCATGGGCCTTTAATGTCTTTACATTAGTACTTGTTTTCACACACCCCTACCCCCTGTCCTCTCACTCCACGGCCCAAAGAACTATTGATTTTATGTGTTGTACGTTCAGGTAATGTTACATCCACTTAGCGATTGCTATTCTCTATTTTATTTTACTTCTTATTTACTATCCGGGTTTTGAATAAGTAATAGTCTTATTACTTAAAAAAATACTTTTTATGCAACTCAGAAGAGTATTGATGAAGGGTCTCCCCTTTTTTTTTTTTTTTTTTTTTTTAAGATTTTATTTATTTGAGAGAGAGCAAATGAGAGAGAGCACATGAGAGAGGGGAGGGTCAAAGGGAGAAGCAGACTCCCTGCCGAGCAGGGAGCCCGATGCGGGACTCGATCCAGGGACTCCAGGATCATGACCTGAGCCGAAGGCAGTCGCTTAACCAACTGAGCCACCCAGGCGCCCAAAGAGTCTCCCCTTGATGAGCCTGCTCTTTTCACTTAAGACCTTTGATCCTTTTAACCCCTTAGTTCACATGTCCTTCTACCCCTTCCTCTAGTTCTTCTTCCTCATAGTAGTCTGGTTTTCAGTTCAGATTGTCAGCCAGTCTTTTCTCTGCTGTGCTGTCTGGGAGAGCAGTGCAGGACAGGGGAACACCTCTCTCAGTGGTTTGCCTTTGCGGGGGGAACGTTTAAAAAACAATCAACACCTTTTGAATTCCAAAAGTTTGCTGCCTGCTAGCTTTAATACTGTTACTTATTAAGTTAACTCAATGAGCTGCTTCCCAGCCTTGAGTTATACTAGTGAAGTCGCTTTTGTTATTTTGCTTTGGAGGTTCCAGACTCAGAAGGAGCAGAGAGAAAGGAGAAAGACTCCTTCTGCAGTCTTCCCCTCATGGAGCCCTTTGAGTCCTCTCCGAGGGAGATAGTGAGCTGCCCCTCTCCGGTGGGTACTTTGGGACTGGTTATTTAAGTCATTTCTAATTTGACCCATAGCTACAAATTTAACCCCCTGCAGTTCTCAGATAGGTTGTCCTTTTCAAGCCAATAGTTAACTTAGTCTTTGTGTGATTATGGAACATGAACCAGATCCTTAGGACGGTCTGGAAAATGGTGTCATGTGAGAGAACATGTGGCATAGCTCTTCCTCAGTCTCTATTTGCACTTTGCTTATGGCCATCAGTTCTGGTGGACAGGGCCAGGAACCCCTAGGTGGCCATTTCATGCCAAAGAACTTGGAGGCACCAGTTAGGAATGAGCCTACTGGTGTGTGTGAGGCCCTGTGAGTTTGGGACAGGATATAAAGGGATCTAATGGGATCAATTGATACTGTCTGCTGTGACCTTCTCCTCTCCCTCCAGAAGTACAGGTTGGAAATTTATTGATGCCCACTGCTTCATAGAATTCACCAGCAACTCAGCCTTTTTCTGTGTGGGCCACCAGAATTTGAGATTCAGGTCTGAAGAGACTAGTCTCATCTGTCCTTCAGGCTTGTTGGTATCCTCAGATTTTTGCTTTTCTTTTGGAATTAAGCTCATTGGTAGAAGAGTCCTTTATTTCTTGGGCCTGAGGCCAATCATAAAGCTTGAGGTTGGAACCAGTGCCTGATTGTAAATACTTCCCATGGATAATTTAGTGGCATGAGCCCAGTTGTCTGTATTGTATTCTCTTCTGTAGAACAGTCTTTTTGTCTACTTTTTTCCAGGTCGTTTGGAGCTTGAGGTATATTTCCTTCCAGTCTTTACCTGCTCAAACTTGCTCTAAAACCCAAATCCATTCATGTACTGTGGCTAAAACTCTCAATCGTCCTTTGTTTTTAAATCTCCCTGAGCTTCTTTTTCTATAATACTTTCTTCAGTATTTCAAGGCCCAGTTCAAATTCCTCCTGTCTAGGCTCTGGGTCTTTATGCTTCCTGCACATACATACCTTTAAGTTTTGGCACCTATAGAATACAACACAGATTGTACTTTTTCCTCGCCCAGCCTATTATGCAGGTATTCCAAAGTGGCTGCTGGTGTCTGCTTGAATCCTGCAAACAGCTCTACTCTGTTTGCAGTGGGTCTTCCCTTCCTTTTCCAAGACATCCTTTTGCATCACCTGTAAGAAGTTTTTGTCTAGAAACTGGTCTGGTAAGTTGTCAAAACTTGGTATCATCCTGACATTTCCAGTGGAGTCATTCATTCCTAAACTTTGCATCTATTGTGAGATCACAAAGGTCTCAATCCCATCCGTCTCTCTCTCCCGCTCATGCTGGGTCCATGTTCCTTTCCATCTTTGAATAGTTCAGCAGGTGTAGTTGGGTATTTGGTGGTGTGATCTGATGCAGATTGAGCAGAATACCATGCTACAATTTAGTAATACTGGATGGGCCTCTGTGGACAAAATGTTCTTGCTGTCAGCTAGTTAAGAACTCACATGCAGAATCCCAAAGAACCAGGTAAAGCCTGGAGAGTCAAGTGAAATATCTAAATTCTGAGTGATGTTTTTACAGGAAAAATAAAATCTCTCTTACTTAGATACACGTTGATTTCTTGCTATTAAACCTTAGAAAAAAAGTATCTATAACTGGGTAGAAAAGTAATTTCTGTACATTAAGAAGAAAACAACACAAGACTTAAACTTTGCTTTTTAAAAAACCCATGCTGTTACTCTTAAGGAGCTTGTGGTCTTGCAAGGATTCCAGAACTAACACGTTGTAGGGTGCATAAAGTATGATGAGAGAAATCAACTTTACCTCTATGATTGTAACTTAATGGCATTTAAAAAATCTTACATTTGTTTACTTTTTAAAATCTATTGCCTTGAGGATTGATGAGCAAAAACTAGATTTTTTTTTACATCTGAGGCTAGTGGAATTACCAGGGCTGTTAGTCATTACATTCCGCTGGGTACCTGTATATTAAAAAATGCAAAATATCAAATAATCATAGTTTTATTTATTTTTGTCAGCAGAAAAGATTCTGTACCTCTTTGTAAATAACATGCTTTCAAAAATACAGCTAGAGAAATATGATTATGAGATTTGTAGGTGTTTGTAAGAATTGTTAATCTCCTACAGTTATAGTAAATTATTATTTCAAAATAAATGTGCATAGCAGGTGAACTGGGGCCCCTTCTGTGTTGGTCTTTAAATATGGTTTGTTTTGGGGAACTTCTTTCCTAGCCCCCAGGACTTACACATTGGTGATGTTTCCTAATTAATAACCCTTCTATCTCTCTTTGGTTCTAACCAAGGAAGAATGGGTAGGAGCCAGTTGAAGA